ACTTATCCCTTATTTGTGAAAAGTCCGTTATCAAAACACCAAGTAGTTTAAAAATTATTGCTTTCAAAAGCACTAATCTACTTTTTAGGGATTTTCTGTCTGGTCACACAAGTACATACAAATACTGATGTTCAGGGATTTAATCTTCAAGGAAAAATACTATAAACAAACATTATGTTTCTAATAACATGTTTAATGAAACCATGGAACAAAATGTTTTTCAACAACACCAAGTTCAAGTTTATGGCATGCTTTTAGGGCATGCTAATGAAGGTCAACAAGAACATTTAAATATCAAATAATAATTTAAAGCATTACATAATTTTCACAAGAGGTAAATATTGTAGTCACAGACCTTGGAACTTAGTATTGGTATCCCTTGTGATCTGAGCAGTAAGCCAGTATTCAGGGTACTCCAGGTTGTTCCTGTTTGGAGGAAAAAATAATGTTGGAGTCCAATAATTCTCTGATGCAATCTTGCTTATTTTCAAATAATGTAAAAAGTCCTTCCCCACCCAAACACTGTTTCAAATCACCCAAGGCAGTTTCTTTGCTCACAGATCTAAGTCCTTTTTCAGCAATCAGTTCGCTTAAAAGGCTTCCTCTTTTGCTTTTTCTGGTCCATGTTACCAATTCTTTTCTTGCTTTTTGCCTCTTGGGTGCTTCACCTATAGCAAACAATATCAAAGTTCCTATCCTTGCATTTTGCCCCAGCAGAGCTTCTCTGCCCAAAATGTTCTGCACCTGATGTGTTTTAGGTAGTGCCTGGTATTATGACAGCTATCTACTCTAAAAGGAGCCTAACTGCTTCTTAGGATTATCCTGAATGCAAGTCAGCCATAATACTCACCAGCTTCACTGAGGTTTCATTCAAACTCCATCATAATAATATCAGACTTTAAACGTTACTAGTATCCATTTTCATTTTGGATAATGTGTTTAATAGGTAAATAATCTTTCAGAAATCAGCTGTTGCATCTATACATTAATTCTGGAAAAAGCAATCCACTTCTTCCTTCAGTAACTTCCTTCACCCTCTCTCATGCTGCCCCACAATGTATCAGGCTACCTTCTATCAACATTTGTAAACCTGCCACATCCTTTCCTTTTAAATCCCTCTTTAAAACCTTCCTCTGCCAACATGACTACAAACCACTGCTTCTATCATTGATTTAAAAAGCAGCAAGCCAAGGCCACAGCTTTTCTCCTACATTCTATTTAATTTCATTGTAATTTCATCCTCACAACAAGCTCTACCTGGTTTTGTTAGTTTCTGGTATCTTATCCAATCTGTAAATTATAATTTATCTGGAGCAGGGACTGGGCTAGTGTATTTGTCTGTACAGTTGCTAGCACATTGAGATCCTGAGGCTTGACTGAGGTTCTTGGACTCTGTCTAAATAATACATAAATAATAATATATTATTATTATATTATACATACATAATAATATATTATTAAAGTCACTTTGCCTAGTATTACAACAAGGCATGCTTGTCTCATTCATAAAACTTTAATTAAAGTTTTGTTTTGACTAAAACAAAAAAGATTTAGCCCTTGTTTTCTTTATGCACCCATAACTTCCATTTATCTCACTGAGGGTCTTGGTTACACATACTGGATTGGGCTGTGGTGTACTGACACCACAGATAGTAGATTACAATATGTAATTATAATTAATAATATTCCATGCTTTATTGTGTGGCTAGAAAACAAAACACCAGACCTACAACAAATACAAATTATTGCTGAATGCAAACAAACCCAAACAAACTGAAAAAAATAAAGTTGAGTTTCTTCTAATCTCTTTCAGACATGAAAATCCAAGGTATAACTTACAAAACTGATGTACAATGGGCACGTACATATGTGCAAATACTGCAGGGTAGGTTTACTTTCGAGTAAGTTACTCCAGTAAACCTGTCCTGGGCTGGCATCTACACATGAGGAGATTTGGAAGCAGATGTGCTGCTCCTGGCAGCAGTCAATGCCTGCCCCCTCCTGCCCTGCACCAGCCCCTGCAACAGCCAGAGGGAATTCTAGACTCACCGGGGTACTAGTCCATGGGCTGGCAGGGAGTACAGGGCTAGGAGACAGCAGTCTTATGATGGGGGCTGGGAGATTGCTCTCTGTCCCTGGGAACTGCCTGCTGTGGGGCAGGCTCTAGTGGCAGATCCTGGACAGGGACAACATGCCCCTGCCCAGGCAGCAAGGAACTCCTGGCCCCAGCTCCCTGATTGGGGGCAGGAGGCTTGGAAACAGCTGCAGGGGAAGGGCAGGTCCCAGTCCCCTGTCCTGATCCATCAATGGGGCAGCTAGCAGCAATCCCCTGGCTGGGGGGGGAATCCCCACCCATCTGGGGGCTCACTACTATCTGTCCACTGATGGATTGGGACAGGGGGCTGGGACCTGCCCCTTCTCTGAAGCTGTTTCCAAGCCCTGTGCCTTGATTGCCTGATTGGGGCACAGGGCTGGGAAAAATCTGTAGGGATGGGACTTGCCCCTGACCAGGACAGTTCCCAGCCTGCCCCAGCCTGCACAGGGAAGTCTGCATGTGCAGCCTGGAGCTGGCTGGGGACTGTCCTGGTCAGGGGCAGGTCCCAGCCAGTGCCAGGCCGGGCAGGTATTCTCCCCTTGCAGGGAGCTCCCAGGCCCTGCTCTGCGATTGTGGGGCAGGGACTGGGGAGCTTGTTCCTAGCCTCCACTCTGCAATCACAGAGCTGGGGCTTGGAGCTCCCTACTGCTGTGGCAGGGGGAAATAGTTCCCTGCCCCCCGGAGCTGCCTGCTTCCCAGGGTGGGCTCTACCATCAGAGCCCAGGTGGGGACAATCTCCCACCCCCCTGTTGCCTGGCTTACTGGGAGCAAATTTGCTTCTAGTTGGCTGTCTAGACATGCCGTACTGTGCAGTTATTACTTGGTAGTTAATTTGCCACTTGCATTTGCAGGTAGCAAATTAACTGCCAAGTAGAGGAAATTACCACACAGTAAGGGTCAGCACATGTAGATGGTGATGCTTACTATGCAGTAATTATTTCTACTGCTCAGTAAAGAGCCTTATGTAGATATGCTTACCAGATAAGTGTATAATTCCTTTAACTGCATAACAGTGCTAATTCCAATTTGTTACATATTACTTACATTATAACAAAATTATTTATCAGTTAAGTGCATAAATTTGTTCAAGAACTCTCATCTTAGCTGTCTATTTTGTAACTTAGTCATATGTTTTAAGTGCATAATTGATGACTCTGACAAGGATCCTTCAGCTGTAGCCCTTAAGGTATTAGGTCCTGTCAATTTCAAAGCTTCTTCTAGTAGAGGCATAAGGTACTCAAAAAAGCAAGGTGAGGAGCCTTCATGAATTGTCAAAGTTTAGCAGCCTGTTTTTTGGAGTAACTGACCATTGTTTATACTGAGTTGGAGTGAATGCATACTTGAGATTAGAACATAACCTTTTTACAGTTTAGAATCTATGCTCTTAAACAGTGTATACAATTATCAAGTCAAAGTATAAGTTGATGGTGTTGCTTGGAACCTAAACTATTGATAAAAACTCAATAGTGTGAGTAGACAATAGTAGACAAAAATACCAAAATCTTATACTGTCTCATATTCCATCTTTCTTTCTATAAATAATTGTGTACCCAGTAATAATGCTGCTATGTAAATGGAAGTAAACTATATTTATTTACAAGTTTTATGTAAAGTACATCATTTGAGTTGATAATAAAATATTATATTGTTTAAATTACAACAAATATTTGTCATCTTTTATATTACTATCAATAACGGGTTTAAATGCTAATGTTTAAACTTAATTTAGAACATAGCTGAAGGTACACCAAGGAAAGAATGTGACATTAACCATAGTAATAGAGAGAGAGAATTTATGACATCCTTTGCTAGCATGGAAATTGGTAGTGTCTTACTATTGGTGTGATTTTCTGGGTGGTTTGTTGATGGTTTTATAGGCTACAATGCAGGTTAAGGCAAACCTGAAACATAATTGCAGCATATACCTCAGGCTCAAACAGAGTAATTGCCCAGCAATACGGGCTGTGGTAAGTCAAGAAGTCCTTCTGCCTAACTTTTTTTTTCAGGATTACTTAGGAAAGAGGTGTCTTCATAGAGTCTTGCTGTGTTCAACCACTACGCAAGGACTGTTCCAAATGCTGGTACAATCAGTGAAGCAACAGGATAGAAGCAGAAAAACAGATTATTACCGAACACTATTATTGTTGCAATCACTGCAATATGTGAGCAGCAATTTATACATCTAAATAATAATAACAACTTACTGTAATAAAATTAAGAATCAGCACAAAGTGATTTCTACAAAAAATATGATTCCCTGTATAGTCTGCTGTATTCTTACAGATGTAGACTATAACGTTACTTAAATTTAATAAAATATTGATGTGAACATTACATTTTCATTATTAAAGGTGATGATCAAGAAATCAAATGAAAGAAAGGCGTGCACCTTCATTTAAACTGCTGCTCATGCAAGGAGCATTTGACAGTATTATTACCAAGAAAGAAAGGGCTAGTCATGGAAAATGAACACATTTTTAACTGAATCTATTATATTTAATGGTGTAACTGGAAGATGTCTCTGGGTGCTCCAGGTCATCCCCAGGTATTATATCTACCTGGCATTACTCTCCTGTTCACCTCCCTCACTTCTTCAGAATTTACTTTTAAAAGGAGGGCTGATATATTCAGAATGTAAGATTTGCAATACTTTTCCAAAATCATTTCAGTGACTGGGAGATGGCCATTAGACCACTCTTTAATCAATTTAGATTGTGTAATAAAAAGAGGATTTGCACTCAGCTAGAATAGTTTAGAAAGGCAGATCAGGGTGGTACCTTGAAGTCGGCTAATGTTACAGAAACGAGAATTGATATTGCTTCTTGATGGTGCAAAATTAGGCTATAAACTTATGAGGATACAGTGGCAGATTTCTTAGCACATTTTTGTATCTAAGTCCTATTGTCATCTTATTTTGGAGGTTGCTGAGAGCTGTAGTCTCTAATTAGGGTAGGTGATAGACATTAGGGCTGCGCAAAATTGCACCGCCAGTTTTGTTTCAACGCTGTTTCGACTCATTTCGAGGTCAAAATTCATGCCACATGTATATGTTAGGCCACAGCGAGGTCAAAACTGCAGGCATGCTAGCTCCTGCTGAGGCCACAAAGCCTGCCAAGTTTCAAAGCGATAGGTACAGGGGTTTGGGGGGAACTGTACCCCAAGATGCGGACAAGCAAAACTCATGACATGGGTGACAGTGTGTGTGTTAAGGTGCAGCAGGATGAAATCTACAAGCCTGCTAGCCCCTGCTGAGGCCATGAAGCCTGCCAGCTTTCAAGGAGATAGGTGCAGGGGTTCTGAGGCCCTGCACCTCTTGCTGCTGACAGGCAAA